TTTTGTAGTACTAATTTGATTAACTGTAGATCATCTGTAGATCAATTTTGCAGATCTAATTTCAAGGGTAACAATATCATTTAATTAAAAAGTTGCATATCAGAATATAACTAATTTTACATTAGAATTAAATCAGACAATTTTATTTAACTACCGATTGAACTTAGAGATTTAATTAAGTACAATTGAAAAACCTGATAAATCCATATTGAGGATTTTCGATTAATATTGTATTATTACTATTTTATTTATAGCAGCAGATAATACATTGTGAAATTTCTAGCTAATAATTAATACACAGTATATGCAGTAAAATTGCTATTACTAAATATTGCTAAAAGAAAAATTTCTATTGTAAAAAAAATAAATAAATTTAGAAAAAAATGCAAATGCTTATTTATTCATTAATTGGAAGAATAGAAGATTTAATCTGAATGTCTTGTTACTTCATTCTTCAAAGATCTTTTGTATCCAGACACTGACCATTTTAGTGCATTTAATGGCGCTGTACTTTTGTTTAGTGCATAGGAACTATCACAAATATGACTTTGCGTTGTGATACCTTTGATGTTTCTTCAAAAAGTTTATCAACATATTCATGTAAAAATTTATGACACTAAAAAAGTAAGATTAGTCATATGCCAATTAATACATTATACACCTCAATAACTTACAGTATTTGATCACCACCTAAGATCTCTTGTAACAATTATTCTATATCCAGTAGGATTGGACTGGTCTACTTCACTATTCTCTAGAGAGTGATACTGATTATCTGTTTTAAGCGGACGAATCTTACGTTCAGAAAACTTCCTAACCAATGGATCTCTTGTACTTTGTAATTTCTCAATCATCTTAACCCTCCGTTTTCTTTTATATTTGAAATTAATTATTTTAACAATAAATTAATTACAGTTTATGCTAAATTATTATATTACTTACTTCATTTCAGTAATAATTCTTGTGTTTTCATCGCTTATTAATATCCTGATCTAATTTGGATCTCTTTTTCATTAAGTAATCTTCACGTTGGTGGTGGTGTAAGTTGTGTAAAACTTTATATATAATATCTTCTATAATTGGAAAGGTATCTGGATCCAAAGTATTCATAATTGTTATGATAATCACTTTATTGACACAGTCATATTGTTGTTCGTAAGTTTTATCTAGTTCCAATCTGTTCTCTTCTGGAATCCTATTTATTATGCAATTTACTTGTCTTTAATAACATATTTATTAGTATGTAAATAAAAAATGAGAAACAAATAAAATATTACCTACCCTTAAAGCTTGTTGCAAGTCTTTCAGCATATCTTTAAAATGTAAGTATTTTGACATTCCCATTTTTTGTTCAGAATCAGAATTGTCTGAACTACTTTCATTAGAACTACTTTTAACCAATATAGGCAAAACAGATCGTCAAAGCTTTTTATTTTTATTATAATTTGATGTGATGCCTGTGATGGGTCTATCATTGTTAACATCTTCTATAAGAAAATCTGGAATAATAAGATGAAAGTGTTCCTTTTTACTTTCATTACTTTAAACATCATTTTTATTGGATGCAGTCCTAGATGGAGACCTAAACAAGAACTTAGATTTTGATGCTTTATCATAATCAGTAATTTTTGATGAACTAGCATCAAATTTTGTCGAATTTTCATGATCATGATCGGAGAAATCACCACCCAAACTTTTTTTACCATTTTCTGCTGTTAATATACATTCTATTAGATCAATCTCCCTATCCTTTCTCTTCTCAATTCTTTTCAGACATTCTTTTAAGAATTTTATTTGCTTATTTAATGCCTTTATTAGAAAAAATCGAATTATTGATCAAATTTCAATTATAATCAGATAATTAAAAATACATTATTTACCTTTCTCGTCATCCTTTCCTAATCTTTTATGATGTCATTTTTCTACCGGCTATTTTTCAGATGAAAAGATAAATCATCTGATTTTGAGAAATCAGATGAATCATAAGATAGAGATCGATAACGACGATGAAATCTTTTCCGTTTACTATAACTAAGGTTGCTTATCTAAACTTATTTTGGATTTAGCAAAACGGTAAAACCTTTAGTTTCACTAAATTTTTACTAAGTGTTTGATATAGTTTCACTATTTTTATAAGCTTTGATATAGTTTTACCTTTTTCTGAATTTCGCAGATTTTTTAATAATGTTTTAATATAATTTAACCAAGTTTTACTTTTACCATTTAGACGTCTGTCTAAACTCTTGATTTTGTCCAGCAACCTTAACTGTAACCATTTTATAAGAAAATATTAATGATTTGTAAAAATATTCTTATTAACTGTTATACTAAACCAATTATAATTAATTATCATTTACAGTACTTGATGTATTTATCTGTATAGTTATATTTTTTATTTTTTTAGAAGAACGTGAAGAGCGTATTTGTGACTGGCCTCTATTTACTGATTCTTCATATAGTCCTTTATACCGTTCACGATCTAGATGTTTATTTTTTTTCTTAGAATTATTCATAGTATATAATCAGGTGTGAGAGAGTTGAATTAAAGTGAAAGCAAAGAAAAAATTGAAAAGGAGAATAAAGAGTATTTTTATACTACCGTAGAGCAATACACAAGATACCCCACATCTGAAACTTAAATGCGGCGTAATATTCTGTAGATTTATGATTTTCGTAATATTTCAGAGTATTACGTTATAAAACTACACGAGTTTACAAGTTTGTAAGATTTATGAAACATTACGGTGAAATCCTACATAGGGTTACGGGTCGTATTTTTTACGTAATATTACGATTTAAATCTTACGTAGGGTTACGGTATCGTAAGATTTATGAAATATTACGGTAAAATCCTACGTAAGGTTACGGGATCATACGAAATCTTACGTAGTAATACGATTTCCCATCATAAAATTAGTGATGCATGTATTGCACTAT